GATTTTTACAGCAAGACAAGGGACAAGAGTCCCTGAGGAGCCGATAGCAGTAGCAAAGCATGAGCAACACCAAAAGAGCCAGCAGCACAGAAGGGCCCTTTACAGGGGTAAGGAATGCTAAATAATGCTGTAGCTGCACTAAGTGACAGCAGGGATTTTCATGGCTGAATACACCATCCCGTTTAAAAGACTTCCTTTTAAGCCAGAAGGTCTCTGTATGTGGATGGGATACACCTGTCACACGGTTTAGCAGGTTACTAACCGGAACAGGCGTATGGGCAGCACACAGCCATGTTGTATAGCCCACCTACAAAAAACAATGGCTGTTTTTACATACAAAGTTGGTTTTATGGTTCTTTTTTAAAGGCTTTAGCTAGCAGAGCTGCTGGATAGTGAAGCGCTCTTCAGCAACGTGACAACGGCTCAGTTTTGCAGTGCATTACAGCGTCTGGGGCAAGTTAATACAAATGATAGCATCATATTAAGATTGTAACCAGATGGGTCAAAAGGAGGACCTCTGGTCAATAGCTGACAGACCTCCAAGGAAAAGGCAAACACCCACAAGCCAGTCATCCTGTTCACTCATGCAGGGTGGCAGGCATGTATCCAGAAGACATAATTTGAGACAGAATCTGAAGCACCATCCTCTTGAAATAAGTCAGACATTTCATACCTCAGCCTGAAACACGAGAAAGGAACTGAACTCTAGGAAGAAATCCCACAAAGTTCTAAGATGACAGCATTAAGAATAGATAGGGAGTGCTGTCTAGCTGTAGAACTGAGCCTTAACACATGCTCATGTAAGTAGCTTCACTTAGACACTGAAAACAAACTGTACTTTTCATATAGTGATCCTCTGAGACTAAACAGCATGTATGTTTTTCCATTCAATTAAACAAAAAAAATTAAGCTTTAAAGTCCAGGGTTATGAGAAGCCAAGTACTTCAAAGATCAGAGAACACATTTAAAACCCAGATCTTGCAATACAGTGGACAGACAGGCCTGTAGCCTCAATTAAGTTGAGGAGAGTCTGCTAGCCCACTCAATCCCTGGACTACAGCCCAAGTTTCCACCCACTTTTAGTTCTTCTGTCAAATATTTGTGTACGGACACTAATCTTCATGGAACTTACTCCAGGAACTCATTTCACAGTCAGGCAGAGCTCCATTGATCAACAGTGGCCTGTGATATAAGAATGCATATTTCCCTATTCCCTTAAAGGCTTGTCTATTCAAAGCAAGAATTACAGTACTTAACTTTTAATACCCAACACCTTTCAGATCCCAGCTTGTACTCTGCAGTGGGTTATTTCTCACATTCTCACGTAAAAAGCCTGACACACCAATTCCATTGCCAAAGTTAATCGACAGGCTGCTGTTAAGAAAAACTCCCACTCAAAATCAAGTGGACACCAAATTTTGTCTAAAATTTATACTGAAGGCTACTCCCCCATGAAAACAAGCATAGTGTGTATTTTCAGACAGTGTCCTGGGACTCAATCATTTTTATGTACATTTTACATACCAGTCAGTTTCCACTTCTTTACAAATCATACTCTTCACAATTCAGTAATAAGTTTAATTATTATGTTTTAAATAGTTAACTAAATAACCAGGACTTTATTTTAGGTATTCAGCATTCTGTTAATAACATCTACTTTCAAATGCTTAATAGCTATGGCCAAAAACCCACTGATAAATTTTATGGCTGTTGAAAAGCCATGGCACATACAATCACTCCAATGCAGCTGAACCCTTGCAAAAAGGCTGCTGTTTTTAATTTACATATGAAATCAGCAGGACTATTTTCTCCATCTATCACAAAAAACATATCAAGTTTTACTTAAAAAAAACCAACAAAAAGTTATATATTGCTTAATTTTACTTCTGCAAGCCAAGTAGCTCATTGTTTCAAAAACACCTGGCTCTTTATCAGTCTCCTTGCTGAGAGAGACTTGCTAGAAAAATAAAGAGTTATCCTTCCAGGAATACAAAACGGAACATTAGCTCAAAAATAATAAATAACAATAATAAAGTCTATAACAATAGTATATTCTTTACATTAACTTCAGGTACATTTTCACAAAGCAAAAAGCAATGCATAGCTACTTACAAACCATTCTCTTCCTACACATCATCATCTTCATTCACTCAAAACATTTCCATTTCAGTAAGAAAACACTGGAGAACATCCTTAATTGTGTTATGGGAACACTATTTACCAAAAGCAAACTACAATTTTTGGAAAAAAGCCAACAAAACCCAGACAGATTAGTCCAATATAACCTAGAAAAATGAACTGTAGTTCTGATGTTACATTACTTGCAAAATAGCAAAATATGAGAAACTTGCTTTTTATTTAAAACTACTTTTGAGAAAAAATAGGTTCTTTGGAGAAAGAGGCCACTACGAAAGATTTGTGAAAAAAACCAACAAAAAACACCCACAAAAACCCCATGTACTTCAAATGTGTTACACTTTTACACAAGTTTTAAGAATCAAAGTTCTTAATCATCAAGTCTTTGCAGGTTCTCATCACAATTTCTGAAGTCTTGAAAGCCACATGTTCCAGAAAGTTCTACAAAAACATTGGGTTTTTTATATATATAATATATTATGTATCACTGTTCATCCATTCTTCCAAGTCGCCGCCGCCGCCTACAGAAAGCCTTTAAGTCCCATTTGTTTGACTCCAACATAAAAGGTCCATTGTAGACAAACAACACCGTCATCTTCTCATTGTAAGTGAGATTCTGCAGGAGCTAGTGAAAAACACAAAAACCAGAGTCAAAATAGCTAGGAGAGATGTTCCCCGTTACCTAAAAAAGGTGAAAGAGGTCTATGTAAAACCTTAGATCTCAAAAGGTCAATACAGCAGGATTACAGCCTTTCTGACAGATGATGTATATTTGTTCCTAGAAACCCCCTAAAGAGACTCACTCTCCAGGCAATTTCCATGCTTCACTACTATTACTTGAATAAAATCCTCATAGCTAATCTATATCTTCTTGCTGCAAATGAGGTCATTACTTTTTTGCTGTATCCACAATGGGCAGAGAATACTGGCTGTTCTTCCTTTTTTTTGGCAGGGTAGGGCAGGAGGTAGAGTTGCTGGGGCACAATTATTTTGTCTCTCTTCAGCCTTGTGCTCTCCTCTAAGCTAAGTAATTTCCATTACTGGAATCTCAAAACCTTCAAAACTCCTTAAAACTTGCACTGCTGTCTTCTGGAGTAACTCCAGCCACTGTATTACTTTTCTGAAGTCTAACAGCCAAAGCTGGACACTTACCACTTGTCATCCACAGTAACTTCTCTCTCCCCAGTCATTTAGGCACTTATGCCTCAGCCCAGATGCTGTTGTTGACTTTTCCCACTTAAATACCAAGCCCTATGCTTGTCTGTGCTGAAATGATCCTGTTTTCAAATAAAGTAACCTAATCTAAGATTGGTTTGAATTCTAATCTTTCTCTACAGCAACAAAGGATTTACTCTCAACATGGTGATTATTTGCAAGTTTAATAAACATAATCTGTTTCAGCATAGACTGGTATTCAAAAATACTGGTTTTCAAATCCAAGACTGACTCCTAAGGAACATATTCAGTTCATCTACTCATTCTGACAGTGAGTCAACTACTCAGAATACAATTTTCCTAATCAACTCTACTGCATATTAATCTATATCCCTTCCCCTCTGCAGCTTGCTTAAAAATATAGCTGGGGAAAGTGTCAACATACTAAAAAAACCCCACGACAGCAGTTTTTCCTGTATCCACTGGATACATACATGGAACTTAGCTTAGTATGTCAACTTGTTGTACTTGCTTTCCAGTAAGTGACGACATGTAGCGTAGGCTCAGGAACCACACATAAGCCACTGGAACAGCAGAGTCTGGCTTTCTCCTCAGCCTGCTCTGTGGCCCCTGATGCAGCCCACAAACCATCTCACTGGCTAAAACCTTTACATGAAGTGCTATCTCAGTGATGTTTCTTACAACTTCACCATATTAACGGTGGTGATCACCTACCTGCAGTTCAGAGAGACAGGAAAGAAGAAAGAAATACCTTCAGGTACCCCTTCATAACACCATCTCTTGTTGCTCAATTGTCGTCCAACACATTCCTTGATCTTCCTCTTACCGTAATGTTAAATGGACTTGGGTTTTTTTATGCCTCTGAAGTTTCTTACTTCCACTTTCTCATTTTAACTCTGATCTTTCTGGTTAGCTCTGCATACTCCATTTCCCCCCCTTCTCTATTCTTAGTAATTTGACAATGAGCACAACTGTTAAAACAGACTCTAAACCCTAGACAGCCATTTTCTATGGTTCCTTACATGTAGGAAGCATTTCAGTTAGTAGAGCTATCTCTATCCTTTCAACACCCAACCACACTCTTACTTCTCAAAGTAGGATAGAGCACAGAAAAGCAGATCCAATAAGGAGAGAAATCACAAGACGACAAAAGGGGATAGAAAACGCACAGAACAAGAAAGAAGTAATGTGGACAACCAAACTGTGTAGAGGTTAAGTATACTGTAAGATCGGAAGCAACAAGAAGCATCACCTTCCTCCTACTTTCACAATCACGTGGTGGAAAGTGGTGGCTTTTCTCAGGTCTTTTAACTGCTGTTTACAGAAGAGAATAGCACATACTAGCCAGACTTTCTAAAATACAGTGAAATACGGGATGCAGAAGAACTGAGATCTTAATAAAAAGCATACAGCCCACTACTGAATGCCTGTTTCTTTGGTGTACAAGTAACTTTTACTGGTCCAATCTGTCTTGGATCAAGATGAACATAACATCAGCCTCTGTTAAATGTGCAGGTGAACAGCCACCCTACTTACTAGTCCTTTCAAGCCACAGCAGCACATCACTGCATCACCTAGTAAGTCAATTATAATTTTTAATTTAACAGGAGAGCAGTTAAGCACTGGTCATTCTTGACTGTTAAGTCCCCTTCAAGCCATTCTCCATGGAGCACAGCACTGACCTTTTATGAGTCTCGGATTATTACTTGAATAGTTTTCCTCCATTAACGTGGGACTCTAGTTCTTCCAACACTAGCGGCACTAGCCTGTTCCAGTATCATTATCTGACATGCTTGGAAGGTGGTCTCTGCTACAATCCTATTTCTGCGTGAGCTAGAGGCATTACATTTGACAGCCTTGTTACATGGTGCCCCTATCCACTGATAGTTAACTTGCAATACTTCCACGGAGACCACAATTCCAGAATCTGTTTATGATGAGATGAGCCTTTGTGTAAGTTGTCTGAGCTCCTGCCAGGGCTGTCCTTAATATGGACAAATTCTCTCACAGTTATCCTTTAATATTAAGTTCTTAGGTAAAACAGACATAAGTTACACAGTGTTTACAGGGATATTATCACTCAAAACTCAACTCTCCTACACAGTAAACTTTCTATTTCATTTGCCACCACACACCTTTGGGGTAATAAGGAAGTACTGAGACGTGCTTTCTTTACAAGCAGTTTTCACAACTATCTCAAAAACTCTTCTCTCATTCACTGGATCCATCCCCTAAAAGAAAAAAAAAAAGTCAAGTCTGCTCTCTTCACTATGTCATAAGCATCTGTACAGTAAGAGGTTATACACCGCGCTACTGATCCTCACCTGATTTATTTCATCTACAACTCTGAAAGGACATCTGTTGAGTTCCTGTAGAGCCATCAGGTACAACATAGTGGAAACACTTTTCTCACCTCCACTCTGATGATAGGGAGTCAATTCATGAAGTTGACTGCTACTGTGGAATTTGACTCTAATGCGAATCCCGTACTTGTCGTACTCCTCCTGTAAAAGCCAGTACCTGTTAAAACTCAGTTTGTCTGTACTACAGCTTATTTGATAATGATGTGCAAATAAAGGAAATTTGTGTTCTACAGGGGTCTATGAACTACTCAGGTTCAACTTAATATCAATATATTAATTCTATTTCATATATTTTCCTTAACTCTGATCCATTCTTGTTAGAGATTTTTCAGTATCACTCCCTCTCCATGACAATAACTTGTTAATTTCTGAATCCCTGGGAAGAATGACTTCATACATATTAAGAATACCAACAAGAAAAAAAATTCTTGTCTATAAAAAGGAGAAAGCAATGCCCCTATAAATTCCATTCATCGGAAAAAATGTGTTAAAGTATATGATGCTATCAACTTGAACAGTGAGGTGATAGGGGGTGGGTGTGTGTGTAGGTTAAAATTCCATCTGAACCTCTTCAGGGGCAAGCAGTCTAATTAAATCCTTCACTTTTCCTCCACTAGTCGATTGAGACAGAAAGCCCCTACAAAATCCACCATGACAGCAATTTCCCTTTCATACTCAGTCAGGAAAACCACACACAAGGATTCTGACCCTGGCCTTTTCTTTAATAGAAAACTGACACTTGTCAGCAGTCTGAGTCAATGATGCATAGGTGTGGGGACAACAGGTGTGGTTCAAAACAAAGGTCCATACAAGGAAATACATTCACAATTCAAGGGGAAAGAAGAAATCTTCGGAGTACTTGCTAATACTTCTGAAGTTCACGTAAACTCAGTGCAGGAATGGGAATGCAATCCCCAGTGCAGAAAGCCCACATTGCTTATCGTTTGGTCTACATAAAGACACAATCTTCACATGCACTATCAAGTTAATGAGAGCTACAGGGAAGATTCAAAAGTTTCAGGAATATGAGCACTATTGTATTATTCGTGGATGAGTAAGCCCTGCGCTTGGAGGTCATCAACTCACATTCTTCTGATAACACAACTGTAATGCTAAGGTTAGAAGAAAGGAGTGGAGGTGATTCCTGATGGTTACTCACAGAATACTAAATTTAGCAAGGGACAGTTGTGTCAAAGAGACAATGAGGAACACATCCCATAGAAACTGCACGTGCCACTTTGGTTCAGATTGCTGCATATCATAGTCATCAAAAGCCATATGAACCTGGGTGACCTGGCAGAGCAGAGTCCCATTGTAGGGCTAGCTTTTATGAAGACAAACAAGGTCTAAAAATCCACCATGAAGTAAATAAGCCATACCATCTTAAGGTCTTAAACTGCCTTAAGGAACTTCAAGTCTGTAGAAACAGTTTTCAGCTTCTTTGCTGCCTTCAGGTCTTGGTTTGGGATGAGTAATGTACATACCAGGTAGCATCTAACATTGGAAAGGCACTATTAAATCCTCTCAGATCAGCCAATCTGCTGAATCAGGAGAACAAGGCATCTTTTGATGTTCCTGGTGTTTTACTACACCTGCAGGCAGACAAACATCCTCAGGACAGGAAGGTGTAAGGTCTTACACTGGTATTTACTTTCACGTACTATAAGCCTCTGGTGCACCAGTACTACAGAAGTGTGCAACCACAAATCCTTGAGGCTGAGGTCAATGCATACACACTTCAGGAGAGAATGGAGGTGACCTGACAGTTATGAAGTCATGTTTGCTAAGTGACAACTTTTTTCAATTTTGAAGACAGGTCACCTTTCTCACCCTTGAATTTTTCCCTGTTGGCACCAGGTTGGCACTTCCAAAGACAAACTGAAGACCTGCCTTGAGAAGGAGTGCTACCCAACCATGACAGACACACCGGAATAAAGCAATCCTTAATGCAACTAAAACTATTTGCAAGTTGATTTTGGTTACCATTTCATTCTTCCCCACTACAGAAGAAACTTCTTTGGCATTTAGTGCAGCTTATCAGAAGAATAATTAGCTTCTTGGATTTGCAGATTGTAGTTTGATAGCCATGCCTGATAATCAGGAGCCCAAGAAGGAAAATCATGAGGCATGCTTTCAAAACAAACGGAGATGTTGCTGCACTGACCTTTCTGGAGGTGACATTTTGCGAAGTGGAGATAATAAGACATTCCCCTAACCACTGAAGATAACAGCACCATAGCTTAGATGAATTTTTTCCATTTTAGCAGGATTTGGTACTTGATTATCAGGCTCAGTCTCAATGGACTCACAGTCTGGCTTTCTTATGACCAAGAACACTTAGCATAGTGGAGTGAAAAAATATCCTTAAGTTCACAATGTAGTTCCTGTTTCTTTTCTAACAGATGCTTACAGAGCTTTTGCTATACTCGTTGGAAAGGGACAGGGCTGTGGGACGTCAAGGACACAACTTCAGGCAAGGAGAACTAAACAGGACCTAAGGCCTCTAGGCACACTGTACTTTCAGATGCATTGGCAGACTGAAACTAGGCTCAGAGAACTGTACAAGGTGCAGGCTGGCAAAACCTCCAGCAAAAAAGATCCGCCCTCCTGCACAGTCACAATGGCATTAGAAAGTCAGGCCTTTGTTGCCAGACTACTGGGAATGCCAGTTCATATAACCCACAGCATCCTCATAGGCCAGCTTGGGAAGTGCGGGTTAGATGAATGGACAGTGGGGTGGGTTGGAAATTAGCGGAAAGAGCTCAGGCGGTTGCGGTCAGCGGCACAGAGTCTAGCTGAAGGTTCATAACAAGTGGTGTTCCCCAGGGGTCAGTACTGGGTCCAGTCCTGTTCTTATATTCATCAGTGATCTGGATGAAGGGACAGAGTGCACCCTCAGCAAGTTTGCTAACGGTATTAAATGAGGAGTGGCTGACACACCAGAAGGCTGTGCTGCCATTTAGTGAGACCTGGACAGGCTGGAGAGCTGGGCAGAGAGGAACCTAATGAGGTTCAATAAGGGCAAGTGCAGGGTCCTGCACCTGGGGAGGAATAACCCCATGCACCAGTACAGGTTGGGGGCTGACCTGCTGGAGAGCAGCTCTGTAGAAAAAGACCTGGGAGTGCTGGTGGACAACAGATTACCCACAAGCCAGCCATGTGCCCTTGTGGCCAAGAAGGCCAATGGCATCCTGGGGTGTATCAAGAAGAGTGTGGACAGCAGATAGAGGGAGGTTCTCCTCCCCCTCTGATCTGCCCTGCTGAGGCCTCATCTGGAGTGCTGTGTCCAGTTCTGGGCTCCCCAGTTCAAGGACAGGGAGCTACTGGAGAGGGTACAGCAGAGGGCTACAATGATGATTAGGGGGCTAGAACATGTCTCTTCGGAAGAGAGGCTGAGAGAATTGGGGCTTTTTAGCCTAGAGAAGAGAAGACTCAAGGGGGATCTTACCAATGCTTATAAATACTTATAGGCTGGGTGTCAAGAGGATAGGGCCAGGCTCTTTTCGGTGGTGCCCTGTGCCCAGTAACGGTCACGAACACAGAAGGTTCCATCCAAACATGAGGAGGAACTTCTTTACTCTGAGGGTGACAGAGCACTGGAACAGGCTGCCCAGGGAGGCTGTGGAGTTTCCGTCCCTGGAGACATTCAAAAGCTGCCCGGATGTGATCCTGTGTGACCTACTCTAGGTGGTCCTGCTCTGGCAGGGGGGTTGGACTAGATGATCTCCAGAGGTCCCTTCCAACCCCTAACATACTGTGATTCTGTGACAGATATTCTAGGACCTGTCAAGAATGATGCTAACAACTCCCTGTGGGGAACTGACAAAGATGCAGGTTATCAGTACCAACACTCTGAATTCTGGTTAAGTGCTGCCAAAGAAAGTCAGAACGTTCACTGAGGTTTCTCCTAGGATGTCAATCAAGAACCTAGTGAAGTGTTTCACCACAGTAGGTACTATCACCAAGGACACCATCAGATCTCAAGGTTTCTACAGGTCAGGCTAACAGAGGCTTGAACTTCAGTGTTACAGGAATATTTCTAACAAAGATAATTCTGGCCCAAGTATCTCTTTTGGTATTTACAGGTCAGGGCAAAAAGAGTCTCCTGCAGAGAAGGGTAATGAATCCAAGCTCTAGAACAGATTATCCACCTCTTATTACAGGTGTTGATCCCTTGAGGAAAAGTTTTAGTCATTGGCACAGTACCACTAGCTAACCTCTTAAACTATTTGTGACATCTCTGCAAGAGAAAAGCAAGACCTTCCAAAGAAGATAGGCAGAAAGAGAGTGCAGCCTCCCTTTCCTTTTAAACTGCTTTATGGTTTTTCTGTGTACTCTCTCCCAACTTACTTTTAGATAAAAGATAATATTTGTGTAATATATATCTGACTCTGTAGGTAACTATCAAAAGAACTGAAAAGTCCATGTTTCCATGTCCTACTGTGTCATAATACTAGTTTCTACGGCAAGATTTTTATGCAGTTCATGTAAAAAGCCTTGTCAGTCATTCTTCTGCCCCAAGAATAACTACCACTTCAAATATTTTAAGACAAGCTGTGTGAGTAATTTACAACAGCAAAAAAATGTTTCAGTGTCAACTTTCACTATTGCAGAGTCTATGCATTACACAGGAGAGCCTTAAAATCATCATTACAGAGATCAATTTAAAACAAAATACCCAATTTCTCCTCAGCCCATTGCACTGAATATTTCTCCCCAAGGTACTATCGATGTTTTAAACTCTTCAGAGGTAACCCCTGCCTATAAGTGTTCCTGAGGGCATAACAGGCTGGACCAAATGATTACTACTTCCAAAACAGACAAAATGCCAGCACACTTGAATAGAAACTACATGTAGAACCAAATCAATACAACACTTAACAGCATATTTAGCCACTACATGATAATAGAATAGCACAAATTAGCTAAAAATATAGAATTAAATCACTAACTTACTAAGTATGAGTTACAGCTAAAGTAAATACAACGCTTCTAACGGAGCCTGCTGAGTTGCAGGCAGCTTCCAAAAGTGAGCTGAAGTCCTATGCATCTGGACAAAGACTCATTTTAATCAGACTGCTAAGTCAGTTATAGCATAAAAAAAGTGCGTTCATCAGTAAAAGTTCAATAATTTTTTCAAAAGATCTTACAATCCAAATAACAACTTGTTATTTTTTCTCTAGCAATATACAAGCAAAAGATAATGCATGAAAATATGAACATTATTCTTCCACGTGAAAAATAAATCATACCTCACTTTCCACATGAAGATCAACTTCACCAACACACTGCATAGAAGAAAAGAAGTTACTGAACTTCTCACTAATTTGCTCAATCAGCTTTTTCAAGGGGGTCAGCCACTTTTCTTTGACCTAGAAGTAGATATATCCATGCAAAATAATTTTTAATACCACATTTTCCTTTAGAGATAGCATGTCAATTAAAAAAATATTGTAATTACAGAAGCTAACATCTCAGTTTACACTCAAGATAACTTGGAATGTTAACCTTTATTTCTGTACATACATTCTGTTCTAATAAAGACATACTGACATAGAAGCAATAACTTCAGGTATTACCTGTGAAATGTTTTGCTTATATTTATCCAATTCATTTTTCTTTTCCTCTAGATATTCCGTCAACTGCTCTATTTCTTGTGTCTGCTTATTGTATTCTTCAACAACCTGCCAGAATAAAAAAAAACCCAATCAGTCAGCAAAATGTTTGCCAACGCTAGCCTTGACTGTAAAAATATCACACTGCACTGACTCTGTTCAAACACAATTCTACAGATTATTGCACCGCACACTGAACAAGATACATTTCTAGCTTTAAAGCAAAGAAACTGTAAAGCATTACTTCAGGTTAACGCAATTTTTTTTTTTAAAAGGCAAAGAACACACTGTTCTTTTGAAAGAACCTACTTAAAATTCTAATAGATGCAGAATCTGGCATTTACAGCACTTTGTTCCTGCTGTCTAGCTTATTATACCAAGCGATCTAGCAGAGTGGGAAGCAAGTACAATACGGGTGGAGGGGGAGGAAGGGAGGGCGAAGGGAAAGCAGTGAACGTACAGAAGCATTCAGGCCTGTGAAACAGGAGGCCCTGGTTTTCTCTTCCTTCAGAAAAGCATCAATTTCCTCCAACGTGGCTGGAAGAGCCTGAAAAGCCTACAAGTGAAAGGATGCATTTGTTACACAGCAATGCTAATGAAGGACTCATGTTTGCTAAAAAGAAATCGAGTGACCCATAAAATATTCTATTACTTTTAATGAGGATGTCACATTACTAAAATTTAACACAGCAAGATTCTGTCACAAACTATTTAAACAAAGAGAGAAGCCTAGAAGTCCTATGTAACAAAGATACACAAATAATTGCTCCTTAGCTGACTACCTTGTGCAGGTATGGTTGCTCACAGATTTGGTATAAGCCAGAGGCTATGCTAGTTAAGCCATGCAAATACTTCCAGAGGCTGGGAAGACCTCCAAATAAGTAGGCAGGCCCAGCTTTCAGTTCTTTTGTGTCGCTCCATTAGAGCAAGAGGCTAGAAAAATATGGCCTCTAATTATTTCTATGAACACAAGACTATGGATTTTAATCAATATTTCAGATCAAATTTCCTCTCCCCTGTGCACAGAACAAAATTACAGTCAGAGGATATCCCAGTACTATTTAAAGTTGCTTTTAAAAGGGTGACAATATATGAATCAGCACTAACAGAAGTACACACGATCCTTTACTGATAGCCTTCTAATATAAAACATGTAACATTCTTTGCTGGAGAAGTTAAAATGGTATATACATCATCCAAAATTTAAGAGACATGTGGAGACTTGTTTTTGTACATACAGTTTGAAATTCTTTTGGAAGATATTGATCCGAACTCAGTTTGCAGACCTGTCGAGCTTTTTTCAGCAATTCCTTGCAGTTTTCTGCAAGAACTCGCTTCCTATTGTCCAGTTCGTGAAATGCTTGCTGTTAGAAAAGATATTAAAGATATTAAAATACACATATTGTTTACTTTATTATAAGTGTCCAGGGGTGACACTAGCACACTGGCAACAAACAACATCCAAATCAGAATGTAGGTGAAATCAGACTGCTTAAATATCAAAAAATCTTCGTTTCAACACACAGAACTCATTCTGCCTCTCTGCTTGATGTCAACAAATGCCACGGCAAACCAATCAAAAGCATGTAATATAGGTAAATTTATTTTTTCTCACCTTGAGAAGTGTGTAGATTCAATATATGTCCTAAAAGAAATTATTTTACAGGAAATACCCTAGAAGCGAAAACACAACTTCTGTGAGCCTTATTTTTCATTATCTCCCATTTAACTGTACTTATGTGCTTGGGGAGAACATGGTGGACATGATGTACACTGAATGGTATTTTAGCCAAAGTCTTACAGAGTGAGCATCATAATTTCACAATCAGAAGTATTTCCTTTGCTGTTTCACATTCTACCTCTGTAGCACAGCCAGCAAAATACAAAATGGAAACACATAATTTTTAAACTAGTGGTGAAAAGTAAGTGAAAAGCAGGTACAGTTTCTGGTTTCGAACAGTGGTCTGAAAGCTGAACTCTCTGGAACTTACTACAGGTAAGCAGCCAATCCAGCCGTATGGCTTTTATAATATGATGTTATCACAACTGTAGTATGACACCTTCAAGAAACACTAAGCTAAAGATTATCTCAAATAAGCAGTATTCAGGCAAAATATGTGGAGAGCCTTAAGTGTCTCTTCCCTTCTGCCGCCAGAAATCTCACTCACTTATCTCTATACACGCGGTCTCTGCTGCAGGCCTGCTGCTTCCAAATGCTGAGCTGGCAGTGCTTGGGACTATCTGCTTGCTGCTGTCTCACAGCTCAGGTGAGCACCCAACTGCAGATAGCTGGCAGCTGCCAACCCTTAGAAGTGAAAAGGAGTACACACCAAGACACTAGAGCTTTTAATTCAGGTTATATTACTACTCAGTGATTACCCACACAACCTATCTTTTCAATAGACAGTTACACAACAAGAATACGCTGTTTACACTTTTTTCAGAGGCACAAAATTCTAACCCAAAATGCATATGCACAATACTTTGCTGCAGAACTTTCTTCTCACAGTTTGGAAAGTTTAGTTAACGTTCCTACACTTGGGAGGGCTTTATCTTCCCAATTTTTATTGTTGTGTACTTCAGTTAAATATGGGAGCCCTCCAGTGGCAAAAAAATTCTGGAGATTATATGGCTAGATAAATGCTTATTCCACATTTTTAAAATACAGGACACATGCACCGATAGCAACTCACATAACTTTCTGGCAATGTAATTAATTTTTATTTACTAAATACAACAGAAGCAGTAGTAACACATATTATCATAAGTGATCATCAATGGAGTTCTCGCACTCACTCAAGAATTAGGGCTGCTGTTCTCTGCAGCATTATCAACTCAAAAATCCTGGTTTTTCCCTTCCCTCCACCAAGTACCAGGAAATGGATTTTGCACTAGAGGTAAGCATTTCACATTCTTCACAAACACAACACAAAGATATTTTTCTACACTGTGTTGATGTTTTCAGAAAGGTTAAAAAATTAAATCCCTTTTTTAGATCCCATATTACCCACCCGTTCATAAAGTCTGTTGTAGAGAAGGTGGGAACTGTCACATGGGGAGCAAGAAGGACTGACATTAGAGCTATACAGATAATCCAGCAGTAAGTGGAGGGTGGCCCTCCTTTTGGCTACAGCCAAGATCTTATACACAAATGAAACTGCATAGCACAACACTTACATTCCATTACATATCTGCATATGCCTTGTAATACATTCAATAAACAAGTTGATTGTCATGGCCACATGCTAAATAAAAGTTAGATAAATATAAATAAATAAAAAATACACACGTTTTGATTCCCTCTCCCTCCTATATATTCAAAAGTGCATGGCAATGTTAGGGCTCCTGTTGATTTCCCAAAGGTGCCTCAATAAAACCACCTAGATAAAGAAGCAACTCTAAGTAGAAAGAACGACCATTTTGAACAGAGATGCTACCCTGAAAAATAGCCTGGACAGAGCTTTACGCTTGTTTCAGCCACCAGCATAAGAACCAACCTGGAAAGAGCTTTATCCAGGTACTTCAGCAAAGTTCTATACTAGTGTGTGGCTGTGATTACAGCTTCCTGAAAGGCATCTACCAAACAGCACAAACCAATTATATGCTGTATGCACAAGCAATTTGTGGTCCGTTGTGCTCATCAGTACTGCAACCGGTTTTGTACAAAATAAGAAGCTGGTTAAAGAAAACATAGTCACCAGCAGCCAATGTTTTCTCATGAATTTGTGTTTGAATGCATGCTTGGTGACAGCATTTAATTAGTTGAAGTCTGGAAATTCATACATAGAAAAACAGAATCTGCATTTTCTTAAAACTTGGCTTAAGGAGCAAATGCTGTGATGTACATATTAATATCAGTTATTTAAACAAATTTACACCAAATGAACCTGAAAATTAACAAGCTATCAAAAGAAAGACAATTAGCAAGATTCTTTCAACCAACCATCATAAACATGCAGGCAACTGTGCCAATTATCTATGAGCAGATGGGACCAACAATCCTCCCTAATGTTCAGTACAGGTCACAAACACAGATTTGCTTCTTAGGCTCATTAAATAAAAAAAATACAAGAGGTTGTTAAAACAATACTAAGGTTCCCACTTGAACTGCAATGACAAAATACAAAGCCCAGAAATTTGTTGTTGCTAACTTGACTTGTTCAAAAACATGTACTTTTTTGGCCTTTCCACCTACACGGTTAAAAAACCCACGCCAAAGCAACAAACATGCTGCTTTCTCCACAGTATCCCAGTGCTAAGACCTTACAAAAGAAGCATATGTGATCTTCTCTTACAGATACTAAGTTGGGTTTGGGTTTGCTTCAAAACTTAATCAGATTATTTACTCAGGAATTATGAAGACTCAAGATTGCTCGGGAATAAACACCACAACTAAGTTCTAAGTATTAACAAAGTTTTGCAGCTTCTTTGGCTGATACCCAAAATTCCAATTTCAGTGAATTCTTCACAACCAGCGCATGACCTACAAAAATGTCTGATGATTAAACAGAGAATTATGGCCCCATAATTGTAACGTTTAGGCTCCAATTTAGTTCACTACACAGCTTTTCTAGAACATTCTGATTTCTATTTCTGTTTGGCTTCCTCCTTTTTGCAAGTTTATTTATTTTCTAAAAACATGCAGCAACTGTTTGCAAGAATTCCTTGAAGTATTGCAATGCCATCCTCACAGGCAGCTTTGGAGCAAGACTACTTTACCACAGTACTGCTATAGAAAAAAATTTATCACAGCCAAAGCCACTAAGAAGTTGAAGGGAAGGGCTAACTTAAATGTACTATTTCAAATAACAGTTAATTTGAGATGAAGCTAAGAAACAGGGAGTTTTCCCCATGAAAGTGCATCTCAAGGCAGAAAATAAGAAATAAACCACAAAGCATATACACCACACATCATTCACAGGGCAATACAGGAAAAAGAACTTCTAAAAAAAGGGGCTAAAGACTTAGTTCAAAGACTCAATGTGCCGTAGATGGGGAAACATGGCTTTGGACTTCCATGTATGTAGCCTACAGCTACTATAATCACAAAACTTAAGATGCACTTGAATACCCAGAAGAGTTTTCCTTCAGAGCAGTTAAAACTTGAAATTCTAATCACTGGGATTACCGATTTCAGGGTTTTTTTTCTGTTTTAACGTTCCTAGAAACAACCACTCTAAATACAAGCTCTGGTGTAATTTCCTTTACTTACGTGGTTGAAGGTAACCCAGTAACAATGACTAATGGGACTTCAGCTGACTCAAACACCTCTTCACTAGGGAAGAAGGCAAATTTTGTTTAGCCAAAAGTTATCATAATGTTTACCTTACAAGTCCTGTCTACTGATCTTACCAGATATCTACCTATGCGCCATCCCAAGCTACTCTCTAAGCGATGAAGAAAATGTGGACAGGCATAACTAAAAACATTAAATACATTTGCCAGTGACGACACACACGACTCACACGAGGTTCACAGCTTTAACACATTCTTACTCAGCTTTAACACATTCTTACTCCCTACTGAGCTCCAGCAATGAAGTATTCGCATTGGATTTTGATACTGTCTGAGTAACAGCTGCATCCCACAAACTGATGCAACAGAGATTTTCCAAGTAATATGATGGACTTGTCTCTGTCTTCAAGTTACTTTTTGCTCCTCTTAGGAAGCTCTCCTCTTCCTAATTTTGCCTAATTTTCTTCCTAGTTGTCTATGACAGACTTGGAAGAAAAATAACACTTCAAAATTAACAGCTAGCCTTTTTACACACACTACATATTTTCACAGAAGCTTAGCTGTCTTAATTGAGGAAGGCAAAGTTCCTATTCAGCTTTAAATGAAGAGGCTGAAGTCAAACTACAGAAACCAAGGCTAAGTATTTAGCAGTACTAATACCCATTTCTAAACAGAGACAAAGAAGCATCCTTTTCTGTACCATAAAGGCCTCCCCAGAAGATGTTTTCATAGTAGATATCCCAGTATTCATAGAAACCTCATAGTTACCTCTGTAGCTCTCAGCTGTACATCTGCTGCTTTATACTCTGATTCTACTCTGTTCTTCTCAGCAGTCACTGTAGTGCTCTGAAGAACCAGATCTGCTTTGAGGATATTCAGTGATATGCAATTCTACATAGGAAAACAGAAATGTCAGTTTTTTGCATGAGAACCAAAACTCACCAAAAGATCACTATCAGGCTTTAGAAACTATCAATTTCTTAGTCATAGCATACAATCTCACACTGTGTTCAGCTCTTTAGCACTGCTGACTGTCAAATTCAATGAAAAAGAAAGGCGACTTATTGGTGACCTAAGCTCTTCAAGATGTATAGTCCCCATGTACTTTTAATATGTAAGCATGTACTTACCACTTGCAACCAAACCCTTTTACACCAAAAAAGCACATTCTTTTTCCCTATGCCGTATATTTACGTGTGAAATGTAAGAAAAGACAAAGCCATCTCAATTCTTTCTCAGAGACAGAATTCAACAGCTGGATTTTGGTGGACTTCACAAGTCACACACAGAGATAGGAAAAGGTCGAAAAATAAACACATAAGATATATGCCTCTCTAACCGACAATGCAAGATGAGTGACCAGACGTGGAGTGACTCTAGTGTACTGTGTCTTAACTGAACAGCGTATGACAACAGTAGGAGGCTCTATTTTGGAAATTTTGTAACAGGCTTTAGTGATCCCCAGAACTTGGTCTGACAACTTCGACGTTAAAATGATTGCTTCTTTAAGAGCCAGCCTCAGGAATGGTTTAGAGGCTTCGCAACCAGCAATACATTCTTGACAGTGCGAAAAGTATCTTCAAACCTTGAATTATAGGGCATTATGGGGCAAACACCCATTTGCCATATTTTTTTTTTTATGACTGGCATACAAATACAAAGGAATCCTCTCTCTCAATGAAAGGGAGGACAAGGTTCCCACCATAGATCTAGGAGACCTACACAATGAAGTTTTGAGAGTGTTAGCTTCTGACCACAATAGTGAGCAAAGGTCTGAGCTCTTTACTATTTGTCATTTCAACATAAAGTTTCTACAGTGTGAACTTTGACATAGGAATAAGTTTATTAATTCCCAATCCACTTAAACAGTTTAAAAACAACTATCAGAGAAGTAAACTGAAAAAAAATCATAACAAAAGGAGATGAAAGATGGGAGATAGTTAAGATTATTCAAAGACAAAAGCACTAACAGAACTATATGTAGAAGCAGTGCCAGAATCTGAAACAGTGGAACAAGGATGTTTCTGTCAACTGGTTGTAAAGTATTGATGTGTATTAGGTATGTGCTAGGTACAGTCTGTCTTGTGCACTTGTGTAAATATACATGCAGCCTGTCACTCTAGCCGACTGCTCCACACAAGCCCCAGAACTCTTAAAATTAAAAGCAGACCATATTGCCACTGCGCAAAGCCACAAAAATCCCATACATGTTTTAAATTCTGTGGCAGAAGTCAGTATGCCTGAAACATATGACTACCTAAGTTCTTATCACTTTAATAGCCTACAGCTACTATAATCACAAAACCTATTGAAGAAAGTACAAAGACCCCGTGAACTTGGAAGCATTAATAAAGTTTGGTTTGCGGTATGGATTTCAACAATTTTGATACAAGAAGGGTGTTTCATTATATGTTTTATCAGACCATTTCCTTCTCTTCAGTACGCAGTAGCATATATTCCCTAGAGCACACAAAGTAAAAATTAAGCTCATGCACAACCGAAATAAATCCTTTTTGTAATCAATAACTATTTCAGGCAAATACTATCCATCCTCTGCTGCACCCCTGGTATAGTGAGAAATACACAGCATGTTTCAAATCCATTTTCCTATACTAGGTGAAAAAGAGATTAAGATACTCCTTCAGGCAGGTCATACAGCAGTCAGTAAACAACTACAGTTGCACTTTACAACAGCAACACTCTTGGACAGTTTACATACTGGGAAAAAAAAATCAAAAGCATATTCTAGAAATTCCTGTTTTAAATACAGAGCATCTGCACAAGTTTTGAAAGGAGTTACTTTTCAGTGCTATTGTTACCCGCACAAGTTCTGTAAGTTCTGAAAGTAACCTACAGTCTAAGAAACCCTTTTAACACGGAAGGTGTCTTCTGCCACTTTTCAGCATTTTCAAAGTTGTTTTGGCTAGCTGACCCAGAGGTAATCTCTAAAACATTCCAATCGTTGCAGTCCATGCCTATCAATAAACAGAAACGGTCTACCCATTTGTAATATTTATTCTTTATTAACCACATAAATACCAGCAACTGAAGTATATTGAAACCAGCCTCACTTCAAAGGTAATACTCAACTCTTTTCAAGGGTAAGCAAGAACATGTTTTAACGTAAGGCACAGCAAAGGAACAACATATATGCTCAAAGTGGTTTCAAGAATGGCACCATTTCTTGCTGGGTGCAAAAGCACAAACAGAATCCCTTAGAATTGAAGTAACTGTTTCTTGTTCCCTAGTTATCAAAAAACCTCTAAGAAAATTCACCTTGTGTCAGCTCCCATTATTAGGGCTAACACGCTAAGCTAAAGCAACAATTAAGTCCAGACTGTTTTCTTTTTTGAGTTAAAGAAAGCCTAATGACACTGAAGCCTGAGACTTGAGTCACAGCCCTCTTTCACAATCACGGATCCTTGCAGTTCCACGTCAATTTTTCACAAGACTAAAGACTACTCCTTTTTTCAGTAAAAAAGGAGATTACTAAGTAGAGTGGAAGGAACAGTTCACAGAATTATGCAGTATTCTGAACATGTACAGGTTGATTACACAGTGATTCCTAGTTCATTCCTGTATTTACTGAATTAGACCATGGACTGCAACACTTCAGTCATTGAGAGTCTAAATCAATGCAAGCAAATGATCTACAAATCGAATCAACAACAGATGAACAAGGTCAAGTTCATAAAAGCTTCAAAAGGTGTTTATCGTGAAGTAAGTTAGCTCATAAACATTTACAGTAGCACATCCAAATGTTGCATACCTCCTACTCAAGTTACAAGAACTGGACTTTTCACGATAGTGGAACACATACCAAGTTAAAAAACACATACCTTTATGAGATGCATTAATTCAGTAACAAGTCTGGCTTTCTGGATATTTATTTCTTTGATCTTTAAATTTGCTTGTTGAGATTCCTTCTCTAGGTCGATAGCATCTTGTTCCAGTTGTCTTAAACTATCGAGAGAAATCAATATTTGATTAATCCTGATTAAAAATAAATTGTACAAAAATATAAAAATTCTTAATCTCGGCAATGAACCAACAGTTGGCAAGAATAGGAATCTGTATACCTAAACATTCCAAACACATTAGAGGCATTCCCCACCTATGCACTTTAACCTTAAAAAATTCAAAAGAGAAAAAATTAATAATTGAAGAAACACTGATTTTGGCTACTAAGGACACCACTCAGCAACCCTACTCCTTCACTTTTGTAAATTTCAGATTAAAAAAATATTCAGTGTAAGGATTACATTTTTCTTCTGCTCCTAGCTCCTTGCAACAATACAACATAGGGGAGTTCAGGAAGTTTGCTTAATTCTTGTTATACATACACTAGCAAAAAAAATGGTGTCCTCAACTTACTTGCAGAAAACCAGAATTTTCACTCATTTTAAACCTCAAAACAACCTAACAATGAAGAACTTCATCTGAAATACTCATTATGTTTAGTGAACTGCAAAGCATTTGGGCATCTTCAAAAATGGCCGAACAGGCTAAGAGGATGACCCTGGGAACTACAAATGAATCATTCTTACTTTGATCCCTGGGACAACTGTGGAGCAAGTCCTCCCGGAAAACAATTCTAGGGGCATAAGGGAGAAGGTGATCAGAAAGAATAATGGAATCATAGAACAGCTTTGGTTGGAAGAGACCTTCAAGATCATCGAGTCTAACCTTTGTCCTAGCTCTGTCAACACCACTAAACCACGACCCTAAGTACAACATCGACCCAACTCTTCAATGCCTCCAGGGATGGTGACTCCACCACCTCCCTGGGCAGGCTGTTCCAATGCCTGACAACCCTTTCAGTAAAGAAATTCTTCCTAATATCCAGCCTGAACAAGCATTTACCATGGGTACACCATACCTGATACGAACGCAACTGTAAAACAACTGGATGACAGGAAATCAAGTGGTTGCCAGTTACCCCAATTTTAGCAAGGCTTTCTGTTAGGTTATCTGATAAAAGCTCACCTGCACACCCAAAAAGGAGACAATAGCAGGTGAGAGAAGCCCAAATAATATCCTACCCTGGCTACTCCCAGACCCACCACAGGAGCCATCAGCCCATGAAATATTCATCTTCACAAGCACAGAGGAGCACAGGGACACCCTAGCATGCAGGAATCCAAATTAAGGACTCTGAGGAAGGGACACCCTGTCGCAGGACAGCCTCAGCACCAGTGTCCAGGTGTGAAACCCAACAAGAGAAGTCAACACCACAGCACCCTCTGGACTGAGGGGGGTTGTTTCCTTGGCGTACAGGAGACATTATGGGATGTAACAGCAAAGCATTTTGCAACTGCACAGGACTTACTATTGGATATTTGAGGGAGAAACCAAATGCAGCGAAAGGGAGGGATCCAAATGACTTGGAGAGGAACAAGTGTGGGAAAACAGAGGGATATAGGGATAAAAGGGACAGGTACACGTAAATATTTGGGACAGGTACACGTAAATATTTGGCTGGTCAATACACTTACCCAGCCATGCCCAACTGTCCCACTCTCATCTCATTCTTCCATTATTTTCCTGTGTGAGGGACTCTCTATTCATCATTAGTGTGTGTATGGCAGTCTAAGTGCAAGCAACTATAGTCAGATCACAAGTCAGAGGAGAGGACCTGCTTGTTTGTGGTGCCAGCAACTGGAAAGATCAGAGTGAGGAGATTTATGTGACAGCCACTGGAATGGGGCCACAGGTCAGAGGCCCATGCATGTCAGTACCTGGTACAAGCGCAGGTGTGCAAGTGACTGATCCCTAGTGAAGACCAAGCCAGACTAGCTGGCAAGTAGATGAGTGGCCTGGGAGCCAAGGAGGTATGTGTGTCACTAAGGGTAAGACCATAGGAAGAGACAGCTATTGGAGAGACCAGGGGAGTCCAGCCTGGCTGCCAGGGACATGACATCTGCTATGACGTGTATGTATTTAAGGGTAAGATGACAGGGGTACTGGCTGTTGGGCAGGACTAGGGGAGTCATGGCTACCTCTGTGCATTTGTATACCTGTGTGTCTCTGAGGGCAAGACCATGATGTTGCTGCTGGGAAACCAGGGAGTCCCAGCCAGCTTTGCATGCATGTCCACATGGGTGAGTTGGGCAGGCTGTAGAGGCAATAGAGGCAGGGCTGCAGCCTCAGGGGTTTGCACATCCAAGTACCAGCGACTGGGAGACTGAGGTCCAGGGGCAGCTACTATGCAGACTCAGTGTCTGGACCCACCTGCTGATGAGATCCACATTGCCCATACATATGTGTAGGAGTCTCACTAGGGAAGCCCTGTCCTGCTCAGACAGAGTAAGAACATGATGAAGCTACTGGAGCTATGTTTGCCCAACTGCTCTACATATCCATCTGGGCTATCCGTGTATAAATATGCAGACACATGCTGTTTAGATGCACTCTGTGTGAACTTGTCTACTGGGAAGACAGGCTCAGCCTTGCTACTGGTTGCATCTGAGAGCATTAAGCTGCATCACCCCCACCTTCCTTTCAGGCTGCTGGATCTAGACCCATTCCCCTAACTTTTTCAATGCTGTTTCCAACAATATTGTGGTACTCAAGCTGGCAGACTAGTCTGGATGGACAGCAGACTAGATAGGCCGAAAAAAAAAAAAGATGGTCAGGCTCAGAGGCTCATGGTTAGTCTGGAGGCTCATATTTTGCCTGGAGGCCAGTATCAAGTGGGGGCCCACAGGACTGAGTCATGGGACCTGTCCTGTTTCACATCCACACCATGGAGGAGCAGACAAGAGGTCAAGTTTTCAGATGACACTAAACTCAGGTGAAGCAGTAGGCCTGCCATTCAGAGGGGGCTGGAGGAAGGGGTTGACAGAAGGCTCATGGGATTCAGGAAGGACAAACATTGAGTCCTGCCCCTGGGAAGAAAATGGATCTGCCAGAGATACAGGCTTAGGACAGAACTGTCTGTGGAGAAGCTCTGCAGGGAATGACTTGAGGTATTGGTGGTCAACGAGCTGAGCATAAGCCAGCAGTGTGCCCTCGCAGCAACAAGGACCCCCAGCATCCTCAGCTGTTTGAATGAAAGCACAGGCAGAAGAGTGATTTCTCCTCTCTGTTCAGCACTGCACCCACATCAACAAACTGCAACAAACTTGGAAAGCAACAAAGACAGTCAGGGCCTACAGACAGGCCCTGGAATGACAGGATGAGGGTGCTCAGCATGTTCACCCTCAACAAGAGACAGCTCCAGGGCACCTAATAGCAAACACCCCCCCCCCAACTATCTTTCCAATAAGAAAGCCACTGACAGGATGGAACCAGATTCTTTTAAGAGCTGCACAGTCATAGTGGAAGGATGACAGGCAGTGGACACAAGCTGAAACAAGAAAGATCCAGACTGGACATCAGTAGAAACCTCTTACCCATAAAGACAGTCAAGCAGTGGAACAGGATGTCCAAACACATTGTACAGTCTCCATGGAGACTTTCAAGATGCAGTGGGATACAGCCCTGAAAACCTGGTCCAAATTCAATGTTGACCTTGCTTTGAGAACATGACTAGACTACAGACTACAAGCAGCTCACTTGAACCTAAGTGATTCTGTCACTGTATATTACTTTCAAAATGATACCCAGATTTATTCAGATACTCCTATAAATTAGAAACACGAATATTTGAAAATAGGTATACTCACTGCAAGGATTATTTAAACAATTTCTATCTTTACAGAAAGACACATTTTATTTATATATATACAATTTCCAACAACCTTGTTCTGTCATTATATCGGGATTCTTACCCCTATTCAAAATAG